CCTTCCCATGCAGACGGCCCTTAGAAAATCAGACGGCCTACTCTGGCCAAGAGGTATCTGGTTTTCCATCATCTCTCTGGGCTCTAATCCAGACTTTGTTTTTTTCTGAGCCCCCACCTGTGGCTGTATGTGAACTATGGAACTCTTTCCTGTTTATAGCAGCCTAATGACATAATCGCTTATGGGCTCCAGGCTGGAAAAGTAATACCGGGTCTGCCTCTTGCAATTGGCCTGGAAGAAAATATCAGACAGAGTCTTGGAATCAGAAAGCCCTGAATGTGAATGCTGGCTCCTGTGCGCTTCAGCCGTGTGTTCTGAGGCAAACCACGTCTCCTCTGCATCTCACGTCCATGGGAACGTCCTATCTCTATCGCAGAATCACTGCATTCGAACAGAAGCCGGGTAAAGCACTGAGCACGGTGCGGGCACCCAGTGCTAGGTGTTGGGTGGCTGTGCGGTGGCCCCCCCCCCCATCTCCCTGTCACTGAAGAGGGGGGGGTAAGAGGGTGGGATTCTGGATGCAGATGGCCTGGGTGTGACTCCTGGTCCTGCTACTTCCTCGCTGTTTGACTTGGGCAAAGTCTTCAACCCCCTTGGGAGAGGCAGAGGACAATGTTCTCTTTTGTATCTTTCATTTCCATTGAGGCAGTTTATGTTTATATTATATTTATATAATTTATATTGATATACAGTAGAAGAATGCACACCCTCACCCCTGTGTCTCTCTGTCTCTCTAATCCTGGCCATGTCTCTCTGACCCGTCTATATGAAGGGTTGTCGCTATGGAGACCACAGCATGAGCGCCACCTTGTTAAAAATGCAAACTCTCCCCCTCCCAGACATACTGAATCAGATCTGGGGCGGCACCGAGCAATCTGGACTTTAACAAGCGCTCCCGGCGACTCTGAAGTCGGAGAACCCTCCGTACGCCGGCGTTCCCTACCTGCGGTGGGCTTGGTGGACACGTTGCTGTTCTGGTACATTGGCTGGGTGTTCTCGTTCTGGGGCTGTCCGATCACGGGGGTCATGGAGGGGGTGTTGACATTGGAGAGGATGCAGCCGGTCACCCGCTGGGGGAAGAGAAAAGGTCAGAGTCGGTGCCGTCAGCCAAGTGACGTACGGAACGTGTTTCTAATCATCTCCAAACACACATGTGCTGTCCAATGGGGTGTGGTGTTGCCCAGACCTAGGTTCAAGGTTGAGCTCTGCCCCCTTCTGTCTGGGGACCTTGGATAGAGACTTAACTTCTCTTGAACCTCAGCTCAGGAGTCTAGCATAGAGAGGCAATTTCCAGGTTGTGCTGGGATTATACGAGGGAGGATATGCAAGGTGTCTATGGAGTGCCTGGCACGTGGCAGGAAGCTGGTACCCCCAGCCCGTGCTGTAACCTCTGGGTAACATGCATACCTGCCCTCCCTGCCCTTCGTGGGGCTCAAACAAGGTCATGTCTGCACAAGGGCCGTGTGAGCTTGGGAAAGGTCATATAAACACCAGGCACGATCGCCATCTGCCGCCTCTCCAGGCCAGAAATGCCAACGGCAGGGCCAAGCCAGAGCGGTGCCAGGCAGAGCAGGAAGCGTTTGTGTTGCAGGAGGCTGGGGCGGGGCCCTGGGCAGAGCGGGCCAGTGTGAAGCCACATTCCAGAGCCAAGCAGAAATGCTACGTGTATTCAGCATTGTCCTGTGTTATCCTGCGCTGCTTCTCTCTAGAGCAGCGGTTCTCAACCTTCCTAATGCCGCGGCCCTTTAATACAGTTCCTCATGTTGTGGTGACCCCCAACCATAAAATTATTTTCGTTGCTACTTCATAACTGTAATGTTGCTACTGTTATGAATCGTCATGTCAATATCTGATATGCAGGATGGTCTTAGGCGACCCCTGTGAAAGGGTCGCTCAACCCCCAAAGGGGTCGCGACCCACAGGTTGAGAACCGCTGCTCTAGAGCTTCAGAAAACGGAGCAGATACCCAGCATTCGTCACAGCTGACCCGGGAGTGAGGGGACAGTGGCTGCCGGGCAACAGAAACAAAGGGTGAATTTTCAATCTGTGTAGCCTTGGAAGAGCCATTGCTGATTCCAGGCCCCTTCCCTGAAACCCAGCATCCCAGCCCCTGCCCACCGCCCGTTCTGGATTACTGTGCTGTTGCCAGAGGACCCCCAAGCTCCAGGGCTGGGGGGACCCTCTGAAGGTATTGCTGGTGGGAGTGGAAGGGACAGTCTGCCCCCTTTTTAATGTTATGTCACCTCCAGGTAAGAAAATGCCACATTCTCACAGAATAACTGGTCTGGCAGCAAAGGAGTTTCCTACTCTTGCTGCATGCATCCTAGTTCTAGGCTAGGGAAGGAGAGGGCAGGCCGCCTGCCCCAATCTGTCCTCGTCAGTTTCTCAGGTTCTCAGAGGCCTTCCCAAACATGGCCTTGAGCCACTTCTTAAGCCCCGCGCCTGTCTCTCCGATGGGTCTACTCTCCCTGCCAGAAACCCAGCCTGATGCTAGGACTGGGGAGGCCAAGGATCTTAGGAGGCAGCCCAGCTCCTGCTCTAAGCCCGGGGCCGAGAGCTACATCCTCTGCCCATCTGTGCCCGTCACTGCTGCAGCTGGGGCGCCTGGCACAGCTTCTCTGGCCCAGGACCATGCCTCTGGGCATTGCCAACAGAGGAAGGGGCAGGGAGCCCAGGCACCTAGACAGCAAAACAGGAGCCAGGCATTATGACTGGCATACCCGGGGCCCAGGCATGTCTGTGGGTTTCTGGCGTCCTCCCTTCCATCATGATGCCCGGGCTCCTGGGTGACTATTGGGAGCACAGGTCCCTGTGGCCCCTCAGCTGATACTCAGTGTGAGAAAAAATGTATGGGCAGCCACTGAGGTTTTAAGGATGTTTGTTACCACAGCATCTCTTAGCCTGTCCTGACAGATACACCCTTAGACAGTAAGACGGGGTGTCCTGTATCACGGAGCAGCACAGGGGAGCAGCCAGTGCCATCCTTCACCAGTCCTTTCAAGGGGACCCGAGTGTGAAGGGTTCTGAAAATGGAGGGAAGGACATGGGTTTTCTTCAACTCCCTGGGCCTGGGGGAAATCTTAATGGACGAAGCAACTGCCTGCTAGCCCTCTCGACTCCCCTGGTGACTCCCTGAACGGTCTGGACCCCAAAGGCTGCATGTCTGTTAAGATAAAGCGTGGTCCATGGTTGGCATAGTGTGGGGTGGTCAGGGCCGCGGACAGCGCCCCAAGGAGGAGACGGGACAGGCCCTTTGACATGAAGCACAGATGCACTGGAGGGGCTCCCTGGGGGCAGAACAATGCCATTGGATTGTGGTTTGGGGCTGGGAGGGCCCTGCAGCAGGGTCGGTGCAGGTGAGCAGAATGGATTGTGTCTGGCCTTGGGGGCTGGGCTTCTTGCTTCTCTCCTTTCACAGTGGGAGTCGATGGGTTGGTGTTGGTCTGTGGCGGGTGCTACTGGCTGGTGTGCAACCTGTCCTCACCTGGCAACCTGTCCTCACCTGGCAACCCGTCCTCACCTGGCAACCCGGCCACAAGCCCCAGGCACCCTGCCGTGCTCACTGGGCAGTCGCTGTGTGTCCTCAGACATGCTGCTCACCTCTCCAGCTTCCTTTTACCCACGGACACAGCAGGAGCTGAAATGCTGTCTGCCCGTGGGACTCACTGAGGAGGAACCCATGGGGACGGCGGTACAGTGGCCGGCAGGTGTGCAGCCCTCGGCACAGCATCCTATGCTGGAGGTGGGAGGGACCACTGGCTCCCAAACAGGTGGGACAGGAGCACCCTTCTCCTGCCTCTCTCTGCCTGGTCTCCTTCTCGCCTCACTTTCTGAAGTCTTCTGCCTGTGGTCCTCATCCCACCTTGAACTCGCCCCCAGAGGATGAAAATAGCCCCGGGTCAGATCCAGCAAGGGGAGCAGGGCAGGTGCAGTCCCCGGGGCTGCTCTGGGGCCTAGCCCACCGCCCTCCTGTGTGCTGCTCGGGGCCTGGTTGGTGAGAAACCAGAGACCGAACCAGGTCAGGAGGCCAGCGGTGCCTCCCCACAGCCTGCCTGGCTTCTGTGGTCCCCCAGCCCTCGGCGCGGCCTGCTCACCTTCATGAGGTCGCGATGGTGTTCCAACACGCTGCAGGTCGTCTGCCAGGTGTCCTGATAGCACTCCCAGGGGTCCACCCTGCACAATGGGGGGAAGAGGGGGTCTCCCTTGGTGTCCAGTCTCTCCCTCTTTTCTTCTTGGTTCCCTCCACAGACCACCGCCCAGGGCGCTGAGCAGACCTGATCATGCTGTGTAGTTAGATCTTCAAGCTGATACAACCTGGGCTTAGACGCCTCCCGGAGCCTCAGTTTCCCCTCTGTGAGAGGAGGGGTGTGTGGGCTGACATGCAGGGACGCTGACACTCATCTGCTCAGGCGGAACCCCAGGCCCAGAACTTCGTGCTGCAGGGCCGTGGGGAGGCTATGTGATCGCTCTCGGCGCTCACTTTTCTGTAAAAGGAGACTAGCAGTGGCAGCTCTCTTGTGGGGAGATGAGAAGGGCGTGATGAGTGTTGGATGTAAAGTGCCTAGACGAGTGTCTTGCTTGTATCCTTACCTGCACGACGGGAATTCTCCTCGGGGCCTAGTAGGATAGCGAGAGCCAAGCCCTCACCGCCCCCCGCCCCCCACCATGGCTGCAGCCAGCTGAGCTGGGGAGTCTGCCCTGTCTGCCTCGCTGCCCAGAGGGGTGCCTTGTGGGCACGGGGGTGGGCCTGGCCGTCAGACTGGGCCGGGCCACGCCCTCCTACATGCCAGGATGAGAGTGAGCAGGGCTCCAGCCCCGACGGATGCATCACTCGGCCTTCATTACACACTAAATGAGATGCTAAATTGGGATGTTTCTTAGCAGTTGAGCATTCCCTGCCCACCTCCCACCATGCACACACACCTAAGGTTTTCAGAGAGGCACTCTCTCTAACTGAAAACTCAGAGAGTCAGCCTGCCCTGAGCCTGTCCTCCCTTCCCCCAGATCCCAGCCCAGCCCTCCCCTGAGATGCACAGACCCCGGATGGATCTACTCAGCAGACTCCCCAAGTCCAGGGGCCCTGCTGCACCCAGCCCCACCCTCTAGAGCTAGCTCTGAGCCCCCCTAGTGATCTCAGTTCCGTATTCTAGCTTTCCCAGTGCCTAGAGCAGGGCGGGCCGGAAGTTGTCAATCAACATTTAGTGAGTGACTGAGGGAATTCGTTTAGAATCTTCTAATCACATCCGAGGAGAACAGCCTGCTGCCCAGTATTCTCCCGACTGGACCCCGTTTCCCCAGCAGGTGATGAGTTACAAGGTTCAGAGGCTGTGTTTCTATTCCTGCCTTGACCTCAGGCGTGCTGTTTGCTCTCAAGCCCCTGGACGTCTCTGGGCCTCATCTGAGACAAGGCAACTGTCTCTCCGCCTACCCTCTTCCCTGGGCGGCGGGTGTGGGGGAGGGGGGGAGAAGGTCTACCAAGCACATGTGCTCCTCACACAGATCACTGTACACGATGGGCAAGGATGGATTCTTAATCACCACTGTCGCCTCCCTTCACGGCTCTCATTCTGGCTCACCCAATTCCTCCACACGCTCTGCGCCACTCCTCCTGAGGTCGGCCTTCCCTCCCTCCTTTTCCTCCTTTCAAGGGAGCCTCTAGGTGCTGCTGACGATTCCATGGGGGAAATGACAGTGCACATGGTGGGCCATTATTTTTTAGAAACGTCATTCACTCATGCAAATTACAGCTGTAGGCACGTTGGGAGTGTAATTAGCATAATTAGCGGAAGGTTGCTTTAATTACACGGCAGGCTCAGTGGGTAACGGCTCTGCCATCTTAGTGGAATGTCCCTGGGAAAGGGAGCAAGCGCTCCCCGCCACGCCTCTGTCCCACAGTCAACCTGGGGCCCCAGAGACCCCAATTTGGGAAAGGAAATAGCCAAGACCAGGCCACTCACCCGGGAAGTGAGTGGGGATAAAAGTAGGGAAGCATTTTGGGTTTTCTGGCCATGCCCCACCCCAAACCCAATGATGCTTTTGGAAGCTCCAAGAATATTCCTGGATCCAAAGGTGTCAGAGCAGATGAAACACTAGAAGCACCCTCTTTAGTGCCATGGGCCCCAGAACTTGGTTAAAAATGTAAGTTATCAGTTGGGCCACCCTGAAGGTCTACATAACTATTGCTTGCACGGGGCTGTTATGAAACAAACAACAGGCCCAAAATGGAGTCACTTGTGCTAAGCTCACATCACCACACCAGGGCGTCCTACCTAGCTTAACAGCAATTTCAGCCTCTCCCGGGATTATTATCTTAACCAGTCAGTCCAGAATTTCCTGGTCAGCTCCTGGTGAGGTACTTCACCCGATAGCCTCCTCCTGCCCCCAGCTAGGTTACCTAACCCCGAAACAATCCACTCTCTCTCCCCTTCTGCCTATAAAAGCCTTCCATTTTGTGTAGCTCCTCGGAGCTCCTTTTTACTTGCTAGGCGGGATATTGCCTGATTCATGAATCTTTGAATAAAGCCAATTTGATCTTTAAATCTATTCAGCTGGCCCGGCCGGCCTGGCTCAGTGGTTGAGCATCGACCTATGAACCACTGAATTTTGTCTTTAACAGGGTTACTATCCTCCCTGGCCTCCCAACCCTTGCCCGGACCCATCCTCTTTCTCCACCCACCCCTGTGAGTCCCAGGCCCACCCGCCTCCGGCATCAGCAGACCAGCCCTACCTGATCCAGTCGGAGTTCTGGACGGCCAGCTGACACATGATGAGACGATGCCGGCTCGACACAAGGCCCTGGGAAGCAACAGGGCAATTATGGGACCTGTGTCTGCTCCCCACCGCCTCCCGAGACACCATCCGGGGCAGCCCATTCCAAAAGCACAGCCATTTCTCGGTGGTGACAGGGAATGAGGGTGTGCCCCCTTTACTTGTCCACCAGACACAAGACAGGCATGGAGGGGCAGCAGGGAAAGAAGAGGAATGAAGGGCAGGAGGAGGAGGAGACCTCCCACAACAGGGCCCATGGGTGAGCCCCCACCTCTCGGGCAGCCATGTGCCCAGCACAGAGAGGAGACTCAGGCTCCCCTGGGGCCCACCAAGTTGCATGGGGTGCAAGGGGAGTGGCTCCTAGATTGTCTGGGACATGGGGCAGGGATGGAGGGGCAGGAAAGTGACTTTGTAAAATCAGATTATAAAAGGTGTAAGTCTTTTTTCCTCCTAAAATCCCAGGAAAGACTTGCCTTGCCCATAACCAGCCGATAATTTGGCATCCCTGCTGAGCCACAGTTGGCCCTCAGCGGGTGTGACTGCTTCTCTTCTAATGAGTTTGGACCGAGCCTGGCACTGCCAGCAGCTGCCTGGTCGTGGGCAGCTGTTTCAGCTGCTGCCCAACACCAGTCCCTGAGGTCTGGCTGGTCCAGAGATGGGAAACGGGATGCCTGCTACCAGGCATTTTGCTTTGGCAGGAATCACAGCAGAAATGGCAGTGGGGCAGTTTGATACCAGAGGGGGCATCAGGTCAGGAAGTTGGGGGGGGGTGGGCAGGGGAGGGGAGGGAGAAAAGGGGCAAAGAGGAGCCCACCTGTTTTCCGTAGGAGTCGTGGACAGGAGAGACAATCCCGCCAATCACAATAAACCTCCCGGTTTTGTGCAGATAATCTCTGGCTCTTTCTAATTAAGAGAAGAAAGCCGCACATTATAAGGAGGAAAGGGGTGGATTAAAGGCGATCATTGCAATCAATACATTCAGCTCTAGAAGGCTTACCTCCGATCTTTCTTGCCATTTAAAGAGAAAGTGCCAACTTTCAAAGCACAAGTTGGGGATTCAAAAGGTGAGGGAGCCAGATTTCAGCCCTCAAAGCAAAAGGATTTCGAACTCCAGGGGATTAATCCAGTTTTAAAGGGCCTCCACTCGATGAGCCAGTGTAGTTTAGGGGGATTTGAAACAAGCCCCTCACTAAGAGCCGCTGGAGCAACAGAAGGAACTGTGCTCCCTCTGATCACGTGCAGAAATTCTGAAGCGCAGGAGTCATTTTTTTCAAAAGCAGCAGCAGCAGCCTTCTTCGGTTAGGCAAGGTGAGCTGGTTGCCTCATCCAGTTACTCCGAAGAGAAAAGCCACCAAAACAAATTCACAGAGCCTTCTGCATAATCAGGGAGAATTAACCGTCAGGTCAAAAACCCATCATCACAGTGAGTTAAGGAGCATTCAGCCAGAGAAACGTGTTCCCCCGCCACACACACACACACACACACGAAAGAATTTGTGATGTTGCTTTTTCAATTTGGCCAGCCACGCCCCATTTCATTTTCATGAGAAAAATTCAGTAACCTAGGAAGGGATGAAAATTTTGGCCCTCTTATTTCTCAGGGGGTTCGCTCTACAGCTCTCTCGGGGCCTGAGCTTGTGCCGCTGAGAAAACGAGGCTTGGGTTTATTTTACAGGTGACGGACTCTGTAAGTGAGCCTGGGTAGCAAGGCTTGCGGTGCAGTTTATAAGCAAGGTTCCAGGGTGACCCTGCTGGCTCTCCTAAAGCTTAAAAAATTCTCATCACATTTCTTTTAGAGTTGCATTTTTAAATAACGAATAGACTTTCTTTCTTAGCACAGTCTTAGATTGATAAAACATGTGAGCAAATAGTGTACAGGGTTCTATATACTCAGCCCCTTTATCTCCTCCCCCACTCCACGCACACACACCATTTCCCCTACGTTATTAGTAATGCCTCGCATTACTGTGGTACATTTGTTACACTGTGTGGGTTCATACTGATGTTATTATTTCTAGGCCACAGATTTACTCTTTGTGTTGTAGAGTTCGATGGTTCCGAAGAACCCCTCCTTGGGTTCAGCAAACTCGCTAGAGTGGCTCATAGAACTCGAGAAACCCATTTATTTGCTAGATCATGAACTTATTACAAAGGATTTTAAGAATAAGAATCAACAGCCAGATGAAGAGACATGTAGGTTGGGGTCCCAAACAAAGGAACTTCGTCCTTGTTGAGTGTGGGGCCCAGAACCTGGAAGAGTAGAGGAAATTTCTTCCTTCCCCACAAAAAAAACTCAGAAAAGTGGGGCTAGAGGGGCCCGTCCTCAGCGTGGTAAAGAACACCCATAAAAACCTACGGCGAACATCAGACTTTACAGAGAAAGACTAAATGCTTCTTCCTAAGATCAGGAACTAGGCAGGGATGTCTGCTCTCATCACAGCTATTCAACACAGCACCTGGAGTTCTAGCTACCTCAAGAAAGCGAGAAAAGGAAATTTCAAAAAAATAGAGATCTAAAAGGAAAAGAAAAACTGTATTTGCAGATGGCATGAAAATTTACTTATAAATCCCAAGAAATCTACAAGCAAACTCCTGGAGCTAATAAGTGAGTTCAGTAAGTTCATAAAATACAAGGTCGATCTAAGAAAAGTAACAGCAAAAACATGTGGAAGTGAAATTAAATGTATAAGACCACTTATAACTGCTCACACAAATGAATGCTCAGGTATGAATATAATAAAATATATACAGAACTTATACATTAAAAACTACAAAATGCTGGTGACAGAAATCAAAGATCTAAGTAAATGTAGAGGTTATTGTGCTTATGGGTTAGAAGACTCAACATTGTAAAGATAGTAATTCTCCCTAAATTGGCATATAAGTTTAATGCATTTCCAATGTAAATGTCAGAAAGATTTTTTGGGTGTAAAATAACTCTAAAATTTATATGGAAAGGTAAAGAACTAGAGTAGTTAAAACCTTTTTTTGGAGAAAAAAAAAAGAAGTGAGAAAATCAATCTATCCAAATTTTAAAGCTAGGTAAAGAACTAGAGTAGTTAAAACCTTTTTTTTGGAGAAAAAAAAAAGAAAAGCGAGAAAATCAATCTATCCAAATTTTAAAGCCTATCATATACCTATAGTAATCAAGACCTCAGGTATTGGTAGAGAGATAGACACATAGATTAATGAGATACAATAGTCTAGAAATAGCTCCACACAAATATGGCCAACTGAGTTTTGACAAAGGTGCAAAAACAATTTGATGAAGGAAGTAACATGTGCAATAATTGGGATGACTCTCCAGTTCATTATGTTGAGTGAAAAACAGCCAATCTCAAAAGGTTGCATATGTATGATTCCACTTATATGTCATTCATTTATAAAGATTAGTGCTGCCAAGAGTTAGGGATGGGAGTGGGGCAGGGAAGGGAGGGTGTGGCTATAAGGTGGGTGAGGGCACATGGCTTCTCTCTGTACTCTCTTTGCAACTTCCTATGAATGTATGATGATTTCCAAATAAAACAGGTTTTAAAGTTTATAGGAAGCGATGAAACACTACAATTCTAAGGTGGCCGTGTGCAAATCCAGGCAAATGGCCAGCCAACTGGTGGGGGTGGATGCTTCTGGAACTTTTTCTCTGATTATCCCTATCCATCGTTGCTGCTGTCTGGGTTCCAAGATTTTGAGTTGTTGTGGCTTGAGAGGTGTTGTCCAAAGCAGTGCCTCTCAAACTTCAAGGTGCATGTGCATTTTCTGGGACCTTGTTAGAATGTTGACTCTAACAGTGTGGACGCGGCCTAAGATCTGGGCCAAGATTAGGGGGAGGTGAAAGAGGCAGAATCTTTCAAGTGCAGAGTCAGACCCTGTTTTCATTTAAAATTATGCTATTTTGTTCATCTCATGGATTTTTTTTTTTGGCATGAATTTTGATTTTTAAAAGTATTATTTATCTTGATGACCCAGTTTTGGGGCGCCTCCTTGAATTTTGCAGTGGAGGGCGCCAACCTCTTCAGCCGCCCCCTCCCCCTAGCCCTGCCTGAGATTCAGCATCGCTAACAAGCTCCCAGATGAGTCCAATGCTGCAGGCCTATCGGCTATATTTTGAATAACAAGGGACTCAAGACAGATGGGACAGCCCTGCAATGTCAGGGCCCCCTCCACAGAGGCTCTCTCTTCCACTCCACCACCACCTCCGCTTTGCATGACAAGGGCATTTCTGGATATTGGCAGGTAGCCCACTGGCAAGGCTATCGCTACAGCCCTGGAGTTTAATTTCATGCCAGGCTTCCCAAGATGTGGTCTATTTTTGTCCATCAGCTCTGCCCCAGGGACAGAGCCAAATCACTCTATCATTTTACACTCAAGTCCAACCCGCCCTCCATTTGTTCTCCCTCATCGCTCTTATACTAATGGAGGAGGAGCCCAAGGTGGCCGGCAGCATCGCCGTGTCCTGCCCTCAATACCTTGAGGATCCACTGTGTCTCCTCATTCCAGGCTACTTCCCTTGCTGACAGCATGGGCTGGACCCACCAGCGAAGATGGACATAACACAGATGGTTTGTCCATTAATAATAATACATGAGACAGACATGCCTCCTCTGCCTCCGGGCGACTCCGTGAACCCACTGCTGTATGTCATCTCTCCTCTCCCAGGGAGTTCATGGAGGAAACACTGGAGTCAGGGCATCGATACTTACTCAATTTCTCCTTTCCAGCTGAAATTAGAAAGGGTCCCTTCTGAGTTGCATTCACAGCTGGAGCTGCCTGAATGGAGAATTCCATAAAGGTGGTCTAGAGTTGCATACGTTCTGAGTATTAGAAAGATCAAGCCCTAGGTAATAAAGGAAGAAACTGAAGGGGTTTTTAAAAAGCCTCCCTAAGACATGCCACTTTGACATGGATCATTTTTGAGCTTGAAGGCAATTGAGACTCTATGACAAGCATGTCAAACTCTCGGCCCGAGGGCAGCCGGGAACGAAGATGAGTAAAAGACACAAGCCCCACCTCCGAGGTGCTTAGGTGTGTGATGCAGGGACACAGAACACTCTCCTGCGATAATTGATACCAAAATGAACAGCAGGGACACGAAGTCTTATGAGACTTCGGGGGAGGGAGTGGTCCCAATGGAATGGGGTGTCTGGGAAAGCTTGAGGCTTGAACTGGGTCTTGGAAACAGAGAAGAGGAAAGTGTATGACCCATGCATTTTTATTTTCTGCTCTCTGAGGCTATGGCCTCTGGGGCCTTGCTGAGCCCGGAGGGCCACCCCTCCCCGGGTTAGACAATTCCTAGAGATAATGAACAACTTACACTAGAACCCACCTTTCAAATGCAAACTCCCCCAATCAGAGTGTCACCCCGCTCCCCCCTCCTCCCCCAACAACCACCTCCTCTGTCTGCTCTCACACTCGGGGTCACACTATCCCCTTGCCTTAACCACCTCAGCGCCAGGTACCAGACAACTAGGGAGAGCTCTGGTGTCACAGCATCTGCTGAAATTACCCAAATGAGCCAGTCCCAAACCTGTTTACTCTGCCTCCCCTGTGCCTTCTTGTGGAAATTACAAGAAAGGCTCTTGCCTACATTTCCCCTTCTCCCTCTGCCTGCTGACTGACCTGGTGCTTATCCAGTATTATCACCACCCACCCCCACCCCTACCCCGACCCCCGCAAGCACGGCATGGCCTCTCCTCTTGGGAACTGTGAGTTTCACTATCTTTTCAGGCTACTGTTTCCTGATCTGTTGGCCTTGCTACACCTAATAGTGAAACCTACATTTTAAAACAGAAGACACTCATTCCAGGGGGACAAGGCGATGTGAGCAGATGAACTGAGTCAGGAATGGAGTTTGTGGGTCCTCCGGAAGGCTCTAGGGCTTGGCTTTCCTTGTTTGAAAAGCAATG